AGCCGAGGGGGGGAGAGGAGAGTGGGGAAGAGAGGAGGAAGAGAGGGGAGGGGGAATCACAGCCTCACGTACCTTCCCATTCGGCAAACAACTATCTGATTTGGAATCAACTGCTTATCTAAACACTCCTGAATGGAACGCGTCAGCTCGACTTTTTGTCCTCCGCAATGACTCCGTGCTGCAGTTATCAGCTCCTGCAAACTCAATGCAGGCATTTGTTGGTTTGGCTGTCGTCTGCAGGTGCACCACAGCGAAGAAAAGACAGGGAAGCAGGCAATCATCTTTCAGTTCATCTTCTACTTCATAGCATCACAGTAGCTACTCTTGTGGGAAAGGAAAAAAGAGAGCATTAAAAAAATTAATTAAAAAAAAAGAGAGCATTGTAGTAGTTCAAAAACAAAGAAAATAAAGCATCATAGTAGACTCCAATCAGTGAAAAAAAAAAAAAAAAAATAAACGATTCCGTTTAACAGCTGCTCATCTGTTTGATAATGATCGAATCAATGCCATCGTACGATCGTAGGACGCTGGGCCCGGTTCCCAGCATGTGCTGCTCCCCACGAATAGATTGGAGCCTTTTTCCCAAAAAAAAAAAAAAAAAAAAAAAAAAAAAAAAAAAAACATCGTAGGTAACGTGACCCGTCTCTTTACACCCCTAAAAAGGAAGGATTGAACGTGACCTGTCTGTTTACACACCCCTAAAAGGAAGGATTGGATATCGAACTCTCTCGTAATGGGGGATGGTTTTGGGAGAGACCTGGTGGTGAGCTTAGATTGGAAATGCTTCACACATCTAGCCATCGAACAGGTCAAGAGTTCAAATCTTGAGGTGATCGAAGAGGAGTCGCCTCCTTGGTTGGTATCAAAGCAAGGTGATTTTCATTTTCTCTTCGCAGATTTACTTGCAGATATTGATAAACAGGTGACGAGCTCAAATCGTGAATAATTGTAATTGTGCAAGAACCCCTGCATGCCTCTTTTGCAGGCAAAATGACCGGGCGTTTCATTCAGGCGAAGACGGCAGGACTGAGTTCCCGATACAGATGGCACGCCTTTTTTTTTTTTTTTTTTTTT